CCAAGAGTAATAAAACATATTCATAGCGTACAGAGGGGAATCCCACATCGATTTATTTTAATTACATTTATCTGAGTTTGTTTGCATACGAGCGCAGGTGTGTGTGTGTGTGTGTGTGTGCGCGCGCGCGCGTGTGCGCGGTCAGAAGACAACTGTTGAGAGTCTGTTCTATCATGTGGGTCCCAGGGATTGAGCTCAGATTGTCAGGTGTGGTAGCTAATGACTTAGCCACTGAGCCATCTCACTGGCCCCCCCCCCTCCTTACCACGGTCCTTGTGGCCTCCATGCTCTCTCTGAAGAAATCTTACCCTGGGCCCATCTTCAGTCAAGCCACCTTCCGTGCTGTTGGCCTCCCTGCCCTGTGTCTCTGGCTCCAGCAGCCCATTGGCAGTCCAGGTGATGATTTGGTAAGGAAGTCGCCGACTACACAGAACAAGATTAGAATAGTATGCGGTGAGTGTTGTGGGAATCTCGCAGAGTCACTGGATCCAAGGGAAACATTAGAACAGGATAGTGGTTCTCTAGAAGTCTTTTAGCCTTGGAGAAATCTTGGTGGAAAGCAGTGATTGCTTTCTGCGATGTATAGAGTTGTTTCTCTGATGCAGTTTCACAGGACTTTGGTCACAAGCCTCTCCTGGCACACTGGAGGCTCTTGGATTACTGGGCACTGCTAACAGTGACGTGGGTGTGATGCTTTCCTTCAGAAAACATATAGGTCAGAGACTTTGGTATGAGGAACTTGTTTATCCAAAAACAACTTTGTGTAACAATCAATAAGTATGCCTTTGTATGGCTGTTCAGTTCACCAGAGGCTGGGCCTTCCTCTGTCACACAGGCCGAGAAGTTTCACCTTGGACTGGCCGAATCATGCAATGCCAAGCACCCGACAGGTGACATTTAATACATGCTAAGTACTCACTCAGCAATAATGATCACTATTGTTTCCATAATTGGTGTGGAAGAATTGTCTGTATTCTGTCAATCATGTTTTAGATAAATGCTGATTGGCCAGGCAGGAAGTATAGGTGGGTCAACCAGACAGGAAGTAGAGGCGGGGCAATGAGAACAGGAGTATTCTGGGAAGCAGGAAGCTCCCTCTGCAGTTCTGCCCAGATCACCGAAGAAGCAAGATGTGAGCTGCCTCGCTGAGAAAGGTACCAAGCCATGTGGCTAACATAGCTCAGAATAATGGGTTACTATAAGCTACAAGAGCTAATAAGTAGCCTGAGCTAATGGGCCAATCAGTTTATAATCTTATGGAGTCCTCTGTGTGATTTTCTTTGGGGCTTGCAGGCTGTGGGGTACTGGGCAGGACAGATACCCAACAAGCAGGCCCCTTCATGTTACACATAATGGATCTGTGAGGACTCTTGCATAAAGACTTAAAATAGCTTAAACCAGTTTTAATCTTAAAAAAGATTTCAATTTTTATTAGTATGTGTATGTCTATAAATGGGCATGTGCCCACTAGTGCTGGCACCTGAGAAAACCAGAATAAGGCACCAGATTCCCTGGAACTGGTTACAGCTGGTTGTGAGCCACCCAGTATGGGTGCTGGGAACTGAACTCGGGTCCTCTGCAAGAGCAGTAAGTGCATGCTCCTAACTGCTGAGCCATGGCTCTAGTCCTGAGAATTTAGATTTTGTTCTGTTTTTAAAACAGGGTTTCTCTATGTAGCTTTGGAGCCTATCCTGGTACTCACTCACAGATATCTGCCTGCCTCTAATCCCGAGGGCTGGGATTAAAGGTGTGCATCACCACTACCTGGTGAGAATTTAGATTTTCTTAAAAAAAAAAACTAACAGTACTGGGAAGTGCTGCAGTCCTGGGGCACAGATAAAGCTGATGTTTAAATGGTGCTGCTTGGCTGTCCTCTCTAGCGTCATGCTACGGCCTCTCCAAGTGGCAGTTAGCATGGTTACCACCCACTTGAACATGTTTTACTTATCAACCACATATGTACGTCTCAAGGAAAACTCTGGTTGGTTCCCTTTTGCCGAAACCCCCACGGTCTTGAGCAGACCAGTAACTATGGAGATCTGTGGCCATCAGGCAGGGTCATTGCCTTGGCTGCAGAGATGAGAAAAACAGACCTCGTGGGTCGATTCCTTCCTTCACTGCTCCTCTGGGACAGCTGGAGCCAGGCTCCCATCCAAAAAGGGGAAAATGGCTTCCTGGGGATTTCTGTCAATGATGTTGGGCATCTTTATGTATGCATACAATTTTTTGGTCAAGTAACGTATGCTTATTATAAAGGATAATTTGAAACATGTCCAGAAACATAAAGATACCAATTCCTTTTATCTGCCTAGCTCCGAAATTCAGTAGTTTCTCTTGAGTGTGTTTGCTCCTGCACCTTCGGTGTGTATTCTGAACGCCTGCTTGTCAGAAAGCACAGGTGGAAGGTAGGAAAGACACTTCCTCACTTCCAGGACAATGACCTGCCCTGCTCCCGTGTCACAGTGCTCCCATGCCTTCGGAACAGGGTAGCTTTACTTGCTGTAACCTTGCTGTGGGAACACTCTGGCCGCATTAGCCCGCTGGCAGTTCCTGCCATCGCACACGCTGTTCGTACCCCCGGACTCTCTCCTAGGCTTCTCTCTGCACTCTGGATGCTATGCATTTCCTGCAGAATTCCCATTAGAACGAAATGAGCATCCTCTCTGCCTTTCTCCCTTCTTTGGGGGACAGTCCTCAGAGTCAGATTCCCAGGATCCTCGTGTTTCCAAGGCAAGCACTTCACCTCTCAGTCCTGACCTTGAACTTTCAACTCTCCTGCCTCTGCCCCCAAGGTTGAAGGCCTAAGTCATAAACAATCCCACACCAGTTTGGAATTATGATTGATAGGGTGGTATTTATTTAAAGGGGGAAAAAACTTACAGATCATCGTTATTATTCCTTTAAAAACGGCGGGTGGGGTGTGTAGACAAACACAGGATAGACGAGACATGTGCTAAAGGAAGAGACAAGACACGTGGCTCCCACGTGGGTGCACTTTAATGGGGGAGGGAGACACGATAAGGGGTGGGTGTGTGAGACACACAAGGGTGGGGGGCAAGAGAGAGCGAGATCTCGTGGAAGCTCGCTTTTTAACGGGAAGCGCAAGGTTATCTGGGAGAAATGACCCGCACCTGAGCACACCAGCGTGTGCAGGTATTGGTAATCCAGGAGGAGTCTGGGGGCTGTAGTTTCCAAAGGAACAACAATCGTCTCAGACAACAGCCCTCTGTGCAATCAGGAAGGAGTCTAGTCGCAGGAAGTAAAGAAAGCGAGAAGGGAAGTAGCCGCTTTTTTAAAGGGAGAGAGACCACGCCCCAATGGGCTGGTATCTCAGCGGCTATTGGCTGGAGGAGCAAAAGGACCTCCCGCAACACTGAAATGATGGAGGTGGGTCTTGTATCATATCTGTTGCTTTCATTGGTTAACTAATAAAGAAAACTGCTTGGCCTGATAGGACAGAAAATTAGGTAGGCGGAGTAAACAGAATAGAATGCTGGGAGAAAGAAGCTGAGTCAGGCAGTCGCCATGATTCTCCCACTCCAGATAGACGCAGGTTAAGATCTTCCCTGGTAAGCCACCTCGTGGGCTACACAGATTATTAGAAATGGGTTAGATCAATATATAAGAGCTAGCCAGTAAGAGGCTGGAACTAATGGGCCAGGCAGTGTTTAAAAGAATACAGTTTCTGTGTAATTATTTCGGGGCATAAGCTAGCCATGCGGGCGGCCGGGTGCTGGGGACGCAGCCCGCCGCTCCCTATTACAACACAAGGTTCTTGGGGCATTGCAGGTGTGTGTCCCTACATCCTGTTCACTTTCCAATGGTTTATTAGCGATTTCCTATCAACCAAGAACCGTATGCTTCTTTCAGAGAAGGAATTATTAGCTAATATAGTGAGAGGGCCACCTTCAGGAGCAGGTGGCACAGGTGTTTAAAGCTGTCGGTGTTGTGCTCTTGCTGTAGTGGCTCAGTTTTGGTTAGGTTCTTTTTTTAATTTATGTGTGTGTAGGGGTGCAGGGGCTTATGGAGATCAGAAGAGGGTTTCCGGTCCCTGAAACGGGAAGTTCCAGGTGGTTGTGAGCCACCTAATATGGGTGTTGGGAAGGGAACCAGCTATGTCCGGCCCTACAGGTTCATGTTGGAGACTGATCCTTCACAACGGCAAGGTGCCCACCCACTGTTCTAGGTTTATGTCCTAGCAGCTTAGAAACTCACACAGGAAGCATCTCGCCCAAACACCCTCCAAATGCGTCAGGCTTTCCCAGATGCACACTGACCTGCTGTTCTCTGCCCACATCACCTTGAATCTGAACCTCTCAGTCCCCCCTCACCAGCCTCTCCACCCACCATGTGAGGCCTTGCAGAGGTGGGAAGTCTCTGAACTTCCAGCCCTCCCTGGGAGGAGGTGCAGTGGCAAAGGTCAGGCAGAGGACGCACCTGGCTTGAATTCCAGTGCAGCACCTAGGCTTAGAACTCTCTGTTGTGAGGCTTCCTTTTGTTTATGTGTTTGATTCTTATCTGAGTGCTTCCTGAAGGGTTCAGAGCCTTTGCAAAACTTGGTTATGAGATGACCAGGCAAACCATGAGTTCTTGTGACTGGGAATTGCTCAGGCATTTGGTTCCTTCAAATGACGCAAGATAAAAGGTTTAGGTATGTGGAAACTGACTTGCTAAGAGGTGAAAATTGTGCAAACCAAAGGCAGTCGGTTCACCAGAATCTGGCTCCCTGGCTACTGCTAGCCAAAGGTCATCCCTGATTCTTCCAGGGACCTGGGCAAAGCAGAACACTGACAAGGTACCACCTAGGAACTGGGGAACATCCCCTCAGACCCCGAGTCCTCCCAACCTTGACTCTGGTCTTCCAGCCACAGCGCTGTGGGGAATTGATCTGTGTATAAACTACCAAGTCTATGGCTGAGTAGCCAGAACAGCCCACCCCCTTTTCTTTCCTCTGTACCACGAGTCTACAGCACTTCTGACCTCACTTTGTCTCTTTCCAGCTGGAACTCTTCCCCGTCTGACAGCAGGACTCTGCCTGGCCAGCAGCTGATCAAATGTGGAGCCAGGGTGAGTGGGGGAGCCAACACGCAGATCAAGACTTCAGTCAGAGAAGCAAGTCCGTCCATCCCCTCCCACCCACCAGCAACTTGCATAGACTTCCGGTCTCTACCACGGGGCCCAAACTCTCACTGACCACCACCCTTTAATCCCAGGGTGCACCTTTAATCCCAGCACTTGGGTGGCAAGCCTGGACTACCTGGTGAGTCTCAGAATAGCGAAGGGTATAGTAAGATCTTGTCTCACACTTTTAAAATTAAGAACAAGTGTGCATACACCAGCTATTTTAAGCTATTTTAAGTGCTAATTGTCCATGTTCATAAGATTCTTTGTGCTCAGTATGTAGTGGGGCAGCTCAGTGGGCACAACACCTGAGAAGGAGACACCAAGGAACTGCTGCCCTGAGCTTCCTAGTGGGAAGGGCTTAGAAAAGCCAGGAGTCCCAAAGAAGGATTCTCACCCTCTCGGCTCACCATTAATCCTTCGTGGCCTCAGGATTTCCTGTGGCAGAAAAGAAGTATCTTTAAGATGGCACCTGTCAGATGAGAAAACTCTGTGACCAGGGGCCATGTTTCTAATTCAGAGACACTGGCGGCGAGGGCAGCCCTATGGGTGTGCCTGGCTGTAGCCTGGCAGATGCCTACTGGGCGGAGTGGCCCATTCCTGCAAACACTGTCATGCACAGTTTTTACCAGCAACGTCTTCCAGGTATGCTGCTCTGTTTCAGCATCTCAGGCAGTTTCCTAACTTGCCCTGATGTTAGGAAAATTCACTCATGAATTCAGATGTTTGCAGTCATTAATTTCATGCCAGACCTGGCTCTTTTATAGGTAATAATCCAAACAGAGGAAGATTATGGAAAGAGGTGGGATGAGAACATGTGTGATCCCCTGTGTTCCGCGTTTGGAAGATTATGAGTAAAGTTTTAGCAATTTGCAATTAGAAAGTTACAAAATTACATGTTCAAAAAAAAACCTAGAACAAAACAGAGATACAGGCGAAAGAAAAAGGCCAGGTATTTTTTTTTTAATTAAGGAGTTGAGCAAAACCTGGACTATTAGAAAGCTTTCAAAGCCATGAATGATGCAGGGAACGTCAACCACAACCACCAGTTCCCATCTTTAATAGAAAAGTGTATTTGTGCTGGTTGTGGCGGTGCACACCAGCAGGATTTGCTGACAGAGGTGGAGGCAGGAGGATCACAAGTTCGAGGCCAGCCTGGGCTACACATTTACAAATGAGTCTGGAGAGATGGCTCAAAGGTTAAAAGCACTGGTTTCTCTTCCAGAGGTCCTGAGTTCAATTCCTAGTAACCATAAGGTGTCTCACTGAAAGACCCTTGAAGAGGACTTCCCTCGAGAGGAGACTCCCCCGAAGCCAAGGAACAGGCCGAGACCATGCGGATGCAAATAGCAAGAGGTTTATTGTGTGAACACAGGTACCTGCGGGCGACAAAGTCTTTCGGAGGACTTGCGCACCTGCAGACTGGGGGGAGGTCTTTTTATAGGAAAGAGGGCGGCCAAAGCAGATTACAGAAGCAGATGCATGGTTATTGGTCTGGTTGGGATGAGGCAGGGGGCATAAGTGGTTTCTCCTTTCCCAGCACAGATGTATGGCGACAGACATCCTGTTTTCTTTTGGTTCCTCCTTTCCCAGCACAGATGTATGGCGACAGACATCTATGTCATAAATATCCTGCTTTGCAGCCAGAGGCCCTGGCCTCATAAAATATCCTGCTTTGCAGCCAGAGGCCCTGACCTCACTCTGCACTTACATTTGTTTGTCAAGAGTCTTGTAAAATGATGTTACAGCAGTTAAGCTGGGGTCCTTCATAGGGGGAATTGTTTCTTTTGTAAACTGGTGATATTTTAAGTTTGGCACATGTGCTGACTATAGGCATCCTGTTTCCCTAAACGGGATGTTCTCATGAGAGCCAGCTAGCTATGGGTTCTGAGGGGGGGAGGGGTCTGTAGGGTCTTTCACTCACAACCATTTGTAATATGAATATAATGAGATCTGGTAACTTCTTCTGGTGTGTAAGCATACATGCAAGCAAAACACGGTATACATAATAAATAAATCTAAAAAAGTGTATTGAAATTATTTAATCCTCACCATAGCCCCAAAGGATGTGAATATTATGCCCATTTTACAGATAAGGAAACTGAAGTATCAAGAAATTATTATGACTTTCACAAGGCTGACAGAACTGGAATTCAATTCAGGCAGGCTGTCTCCATGGTCTAGCACTGAATCCTGACATTACACAGCTTTTTGTTGTTGCTCTTTCGAGACAGGGCTTCTCGTGTAGCCCTGGCTGTCCTGGAACTTGTTTTGTAGACCAGGCTGGTCTTGATCTCAGAGATCCCCTTGCCTCTACCTCCCACGTGCCACCACTACCCAGCAATTACACACCTTAATTTTTCTGTGTTTGTCTAGATCAGGGGTTGTCAACCTGTGGGTTGTGACACCTCTGGGGATCAAATGACCCTTCCACAGGGGTCGCCTGAGACCATCAGAAAACAGATATTTACATGAGGAGATGTATAAAAGGTTGCAGCATTAGGAGGGTGGAGAACCACTCATCTAAATGAAATGAATTTGTACAATCGGTCTTATCAACTTTTATTAGGACTTATTGGGAGGTGCCGTTTGCAATGTGTTGGTTTCAATGGCTGACTTCATAGGAATGTCTCCCAATGGAGGGGACTCTGCTGTCACCAAGTGGCTCTGGGCAGTACTACTTGTTACTTTACAAGAGTGACGTTGCTGGTGTTTGCTAAGAGCAGAAAGGCTATGAAAGGCTTTGTGACAGTCTTGATAATGTGGTTCTCCTGGGTGGGAATTCTCTGGTGTTGACGGATGAGCGCTGAAGCCAAAGGCTTTACCGCGCACACCGCGGATAGAAGGCTTTACCGCGCACACCGCGGATAGAAGGCGTTTCTCCACTGTGAATCCTCCCATGCTCTCCTGACTTGTTCCCTGGGAAAAGGCTTTCCCACATGTGCCACACGAGCATGGCTTCTCCCCAGGGTGAACTCTGCAATGAAGAGGAAGGCAGGGGCTCTGGCTGAAGGCTTTCTCACAGTCACCACATTTAAAGGGCTTCTTCCCAGAGAGAATCTTCTGAGGCTTAGAAAGGCAGCAACTCTGACGAACCGCGTTCCCATGCTCACTACACCCGAAGTGCTTCTCTACAATATGAATTCTTTGGTGCTCTGCTTAAAGGCTCTACCTACCACACTCACTGCATGGAAAGGCTTTCTCTCCAATGCGAATTAACTGCTGTTTCTAAAGCTGCATTTGTTACATTTAATGGGTGCTCACTTTGGGAGGCTGAGACTCAGTGGCAGAGGCGTTGTGCACGGAGTTGCAGGCTCATTGCATTCATTTGGCTGCCCACCAGTGTGGATGCCCTGATGGCAAGTGAGCTGTGTACTCTGGTCGTAGGTTTTCCCACATTGGTTACACTCACGGGATTGGTGGGGGCTGTGGACCCAGACCCTGAATTTCCTGTAAACAACTTGTTATGCTTGCAGCTGCTCTGAACAAAACAACTTGTTTTCCTCTGCACTGAACAGACTGCAGCTGCTCTGAGCATGAGACCCTCATGAGTTCCTGATGGCAGGGAGTGAATTCTGGAAATCCCAAGAGCTAGGGCGTGGCTATCAGTTAAGGAACCCTTTTATAAGCTTCCCTGGAGCACAATAAAGTTGGCATTCTTGTTTCAAGGATGGCCCTTGTCCGTGTGTGTGTGTGTGTGTGTGTGTGTGTGTGTGTGTGTGTGTGTTTAAATCTCCAGCCTAGTTCCTGGCTCAGGTACCATCCCATACTGCAGGCCCTACACAGGATGTTGTGACCCTTCTGATGCTGCAGAAAGTGTCTGTTGTGATGGAAGGCAGAAGGTACCTGTGGTGATGGAAGGCAGAAGGTGTCTGTTGTAATGGAAGGCAGAAGGTGTCTGTTGTGATGGAAGGCTTTTCCACATTTGTTAAACTTAAAGCATTTCTCAGTATGCCTTGAGTTCTGACCTAAAACCTTCTCACTTGGTGTGAAGGCTCAGGTGGTAGTTCAAAGCTGAGCTGCAAACGAAGTGCTCGCCACACTGCTTGCACTCATTTGGCACTCGCTGGTGTCAGCTTTATGGTCTCCTTGCCCTTAGCACAGGCAAAGCGCCTGTTTGTGGCATGGCTCAGCTGATGCAGAACAGGTGTGAGGGACGGCTGACACGTTCTGGACACTGGTAGCCCCTGCAGCCTGAGGGGGTTCGCTGAAGCTCATTAAGGTGTGTGCTTGGACAGAGGTTTTCCTGCACTCGGTGCGTTTGTAAGGCTTCTCTCCACTGTGAACCCTCTGGTGGATCTTCAGGGTGGAGGAGTGGTTGAAAGCTTTCCTTTCACTACCCTTGTATGACTTCTCTCCTGTATGAGAAGTCCACTGCTCGATGGGCGATGACCTCTGATTAAAGGTCTTTTTGCATTCTTGACACTGGAAGACAGGTTTTGCAAAATGAGCTTTTTGATTTGGACAAAATGTTTCCTTCCGTGGAAGATTCCAAGGCATGTAGCACATTCATGGAGTTTCTAGTATGGGTTTTCTGGTGTCCAGCTAGAGGAAAGGCCTGGCCGAATGGGTCCCCACATTCTCACATCTGTAGGACTTAGTGTTTGTGGGAGTTTTCCGTGTTTAATAGGCTGTGGATGAAGAATGGATGGACTGTTGCCACATGGCCCTTATGCAGTGTTTGGGGGTCACTATTACTAGCAGGTGGTTTTTCTTGGTCCCAACCTTGAAGCTTACAGTTTTGCCGAGTCAGCACCTCTGCTCTGTAGCAGCTTTTGTGGCTCCACCACTTTGACTCCTGGATGGCTTTTTGAGGTTAGCACTGTGAATTTTACACAGGTTTCTTCCAGTGTGGATATCCTGACTGACCCTTTTCCTGCACATGTGTGTATGTGCATATTCGCTGTCTATGCTTGGAAAAACCTATATGACAAAGTGGCAAAAACGGAACTCAGAGCTGGGGTGCACGTACCCAAGTTGTTCACCATCAAGGAACACTAGCACAAGCAGGAGGCTTCAGAGCACTCACATTAATGACCTCCTCTTGCGGGAGGTCCTTCCTCCCCTCCAACCAATAGCTGCTGAGATACCAGCCCATTGGGGTGTGGTTTCTCTCCCTTTAAAAAAATGGCTACTTCCTCCGCTCACTCTCTTCACTTCCTGTGCCACCGGAGACTAGACTCCCTTCCTGGTTGTGCAGATGGCTGTTGTCTGGGACGGTAATCTGTAAGTTTTTTCCCCTTTAAATAAATAACACCCTATTAATCATAACTCCAAACTGGTGTGGCATTGTTCGTGACTTACGCCTTCATCTGGCACCCGAACGTTTGGCTTTTAGGACCTCTCCTTCCCCCACTAGGCTGCCGGCCGCGAGTTCGGCTTGGCGCGAGCCCTCCCTTCCTCAGCTGCGGCCTGTGCCTTGCAGCAGCCATGTGGCCTGTGCCTTGCGGCAGCCTTGTAGCCTGTGCCTTGTGCGTGGAGCCAGCAGTTTAATATAAATTATCACGCACTGGCTTTTCTTGCTGCAGTTCTTTATATTTTTTTTAGACACCTCAGATTGACTTCAAGTCCCCACGCACCCTATCGTCTGCCTCCCCACGTGGATTTAAACTCCACAGGCCCGTGTAGTCTCTGCCTGCGTGGTTTACTCTTTTCTGAGTTGTTTTTAAATCTCCCTTGCAAGTATAGCTCTTAAGTGGTGCGAACCAGAGCACGCGGAAGCTGCAACCCCTCAGGGTGACTCTGTCACGTGGAGGCATACACGGCTTCCGGGTTACTCTTCTCTACCCCTGGATTCTGGGTTTATGGTTCCCTGTACGCCGTTTTTTGTTTAGTTCGTGACTTAGGCCCCAGTGCTGAGTCCGAGATACACTCGGCCTTCAGGCCCATAATATCCAGAGAGGCAGGAAGATCTCTGAGGCCAGCCGGGTGGTGGTGGCATACGCCTTTAATCCCAGCACTGGGGAAGCAGAGACAGGCGGATTTCGGTGAGTTCGAGGCCAGCCAGGTCTACAAGAGCTAGTTCCAGAACAGGCTCCAAAACCAGAGGTCACCACTGGCAGGAACCATTCGTTGCAGGCAGACCCTCAAACAGGAACCCGTTTTCGTCGCGACTTGACAACAGCGCCACCTGCTGGATAATAGGTAATATGGCAGTTTTCGTTTCCAACATGAATTTAACTGTTTGGGCTACCAATACAATGGGTCTTATCATGCAAGGTTTATATGACTATGAGGATAACTTAATTTACTAGCTACTAGGTTTCAGTATTCTTTTGCATATTCTATCATTTAGGAAGAATATGGCACTCCCAAGAACCATACTATCTTTAGTAGAAACTCATGCAGGTCAGGAGATTCAGGATTCAAAAGCGGCAATAATAAAGACAATGATAAAAAGACTTGAAATGATTGAAGAAATTATTGGAGCTGGTGAACAGAGTAATAAGGCACAAGGACAGGATACAAGGCAACACCAGCTATCAGAACTGGCTTATCCAGGGTTTTAGTGGCATACCCTATACTTAATTCTGACAAAGCGTCAACTTCTAAAGGCTCAAAGGGAGTCAGAGAAGCTAGATGGACGCCAATAGCAATGAATGGTCTAAAAGAAATTAAGCAGGCTATTGTTAATTTTGGTTTGCACAATGCATATGTAAAGGAAATGATAAGGACCTGGGCTTCTAATGCTAGAGCTACACCCTATGATTTCCATCAGTTAGTGTATGCAGTTTTAGATAAGGGACCTTCCTTGATGTTTGGAATTTATTTCAGAGAAGAATCCAAACATATGGAACAGCAAGGAAGAGCAAAAGGTGTCGAGGTTTCCCAAGATCAAATTCTTGGTGCAGGAGAATATGCTGATCCACAGGTCCAAGCTCTTTAT